ACAGAATTACTAAACAGGTCTCCACATAGAAGACACTCAGTTTCTTCCATCCGATTTTTTGCTTTTTTTCTTGCCTTTATTACCAGCGCTAGCACCTTTTTTGTGATCACTCTCTTTCGTTTTCTTTTTATCTCTGTCATCTTTTTCAAGCTGGAGTTGTTTTTTTTCGGGTGTAGAGGTCAAAATAGCCAAATATAGTTTTTTCCTGGTTATTTTGGTCTTTCGTGGGGATGCCTTCCTGAAAGGTCTTATCATCTCTGGAGTCTTCAGTGGGTCTGATGTTTTCCTGTTGGTAGGAGGACTATTCATTAGTATGTCTTCACTAGTAGATGATGTCTCCAAGTTTTCTGTTGATACTTCATTTGGCAAGGGGGGATCTGTTATGTCGCTGGGTAGAAAATCATCATCTGAAAAAATGTGACAGTCAAAAGGATATATGCCGGAAACTTGAAAACCTTTCTTGATATTTTCTGGAGTAAGCGCTCGTGTAAGGCTTTGATTTACTAAGGTTGGTATGTCATAAATTCCAGTGTGTATGAATTATTTAGTTTTAGTATCTGTATTAAAAATATGTGATACATTATTAAACAGAAAAACATATGAAACCACCCAAAAGTAGTTTTAATCATTTGGCGAACATGAGGCGAAGTATACATGTGTTTATAATATGATGTTGTTAGGCTTTGCTGTTGAAATAACTTGTGAGCCGTTCTTTAAATATTTGAATTTCTTATTAAACAAAAAAGATTTCTCTGTCAAAAATTTCAATTTAGTAACTTTTTAAGGATTTATCTTGTTGGACTATCTTTCCTGACAGTAAATTTAATTTGTTATAATTGAAAATGCTGCTTCTCTGCTTTTAAGATCTAAAAGAAGAGGATTTTCAATCAGCTCTCAAAATTCATCTTAACTTAATGGTAGACCATGTTGGAGAGGTAAGTATAAAAAAAAAATCATTATTCAACATTGAAAAAAAAATTATTTTAGTAGCTTTGTCATTGATTGTTCTACGAGTATTTAAAATGTTTTGAAGTACAAAAGTGGAATATTTATCTTTAAAATGTCAGATTTTGTACTTTTTACTCTTAATATATAAGCACAGTGTGTCTCAAAAGAAACACGTGTAGGCTATAATTTTCATACGTGTTCAGTATTGTACCTTAGATTTATTTGTAGGTTTTTTATGTAATTTTAAAAAATTAACATTTTTACCTAAATACTCAAAAAAGAAAACAAGTTTTTAATTGTGTGGTATTACAATGAACTCATAAACAAGTAACTTGTACAATATTTACTTAATGGTTTGGTTTTCCACACCTATTCTGTAAAATTAATACTGAGTATGAAAGATTTTTGTTTTATACATATACATATATATATATATATATACATGTTTTTCTAAAACAAAAATGCATAAATAAGTCTTCAAATGGATGTCATTCCCACCATTAGTTGAAAATTTATTCAGGATTTCATCACAAGAAATGAAACTGAAATAGACAATGTTAAAAAAAAATTGTCTAAAATTTAAAAATTGGAGTGGTCTGCCACTGATAAAAAATGTATTGAATTTCTAGTAAATGTTAGTAGATACAGTCATTAAAACTAAACTGAGCGTGTAAAAATCTCCATCCTTCTCTTTAGAACAAGGGAAGAAGTGATCAGAGTTTGTATGTAGAGTGAAAATGTGTTTTTCATATACCTTTCTCACCACTAAGTACTATACTAAATCATCGACAGGTAACAGTTATGTATATCCAGAATACTGTGTACAAGATATGATTGCTTATAAAGTGAACTGGTAATTTCATTGAGAGTTCATGATAGGCAACATCTTGATCTATCTGTTGTTTCAGCTTCTCCTCAGAATTTGTCCAATTTTTAGAAATGATTTTTCTTTTCGATAACCCTGGGTTGTTTCAGATCTTTCCTCTAAGTTAGGTTTTTTTTGTTTTTTTTAAAGAATGCATTACCACCTTCATAACCTTGGCTCGACAACATAGAAGAGGTTGTTGTAACTTAAGACAATGATCGTTCGTCATGTAAGAGAGAATGTTCAGTTTCTTGTTTCCTACAGTATTTCATTAACGAGAATTGTGTAAAGAAAATTTACAGTTTACCCAACAGTTGTATGATCTACAGTGCATTTTAAGAGACGGAAGCTCGTTTTTCTTTTTTTCTAGGTCAGTCATTGGATGGTTGGTGTTAAGCACTTAATTCATGAAGCACAAAAAGTATCTTCTAACACTGAAGGGAATCGGGAAGAAAAATCTCTTAAAGAACAAGAAGCAAATCCAGTAGAACAACTGAAGAGTGTTGAAGAAACTGCTGTGGAACAACTGAAAAGTGTTGAAGAAACTGCTGTGGAACAACTGAAAAGTGTTGAAGAAACTGCTGTGGAACAACTGACGACATTTTCTTCAACACTCTTCAGTTGTTCCACGACATTTTCTTCAACACTCTTCAGTTGTTCTACAGCAGTTTCTTCAACACTCCTCAGTTGTTCCACAGCAGTTTCTTCAACACTCTTCAGTTGTTGAACAGCAGTTTCTTCAACACTTTTGGAACAACTGAAGAGTGTTGAAGAAAATGTCGTGGAAGAATTAATGAAAGGTACTTCAGGAGATCCTGTAGTTAATTAAAATACAGCTAAATTAAATCTCTGAAAATCTCTTGTGCTATCATATGAGATTCATATATAAGGATCTTATGATGTCAGTTTCTTTGTTTTCTTCATCATTTTTATATATAAGACTATTGGAAATGTAATGTGACTGTTGAACACATCTCTTTGTTGACGTAACAAAGTATTTTTCACTTTGTTTCTCCATCATGGACCTCCAAACTACAAGCTCTCATGTGCAGAGTTTTCAAGCTTTTTTTTTGTCGAATTTAGATGACTAAATAAGAATTAGCATAGAAAAGTAATATTATTACCTGGAGACTTCAATAAAAATAAATTATTATTTTCAATTGGTGTGCCTAAAATCCAGATGGTATATTTTTTTACCTGCTTATGAACTTAAAGAGGATATCTGATATTAACTAGTTTCAGAAATATAACTGTGCCTCGTAGTAGTCTCTGATTTCAACCAAATGTTTGTGTTTAGCCAGGTCAATAAAACTTTGAATGACACAGTTGCAAACGATTCTGTTTGTAATGATTAGGGAGTTTTATAAGGCTCAGAATTATTAATTTGTTTCTGAAATTAACATCTTTATGGCTTGATAAGTTCTTATCTAAGAAAAACAGTTATGCTCATTGATGAGAAAGGATAAATTTGTAAAGAACTGATAGCAGCTTGCCTGCAGACATTAGAACCATGGTTATTAGAGGTTTATAGTTATTGTAAAGTTTTCTTTTCTATTTTTTTTACAAATCACTCAACTTTTCTTTAAAATATCGACGTGCAGTGGCCACTTCCCCCTTCCTTTGGTACACGTACTAGGGAAGTCTGTCCCATTGTTTGAGATCCTCTGGTCAAGAATAATATTGATATTTGTGACATATTTATTCTGTTTGTGATTTTGAAATAATACTCAATGAATCTGTTATAATCTTGATTTGATTGAAAAACTGAGCTATAGACTCTTGTCTGGTATAAAGGAGAAATTCTTTAATCAAGACTGTTTGACTTATGATGAAATTGTTTAGAAAACAAACATTTTCTGTATTAAAGTGTTGTAGCTGATGATCATTGGTGAACACCTGCTTCTTTTGTGCACGATCAGAAATATATATAATTCTTTTCATTTACAGGAAATGCCAGCTATAATCATCTACTGTATGATATCAGTTCAGTTCTCAGTAAGAAAGAATATTTTAAGGCTCATGGCTTTAGGTAGAACTCTGAATTTGTCATGTTTTATTTATGATTAATTAATTAATTTCAACAATTGAACAATCTCATGGATTTGGGTACAACCCTGAATTTGTCATGTTTTCCTTACAATTAATAGATTAATTTCAACAATTGAACAATCTCATGATTTTAGGTAGAACTGTGAACTTGTCACTTTTTCTTTACAAACAATTCATTAAGTTTAACATTTAAATATTAATGTTTTGTTATCCTTACTGTTTATCTATATTGATGCAATATCCACTTATCTTCCAATTTGGGTAATCTTTTAAACATTATTAGAACTACAGAAAATTAAGTTAGATAAACAGATACTTTATATTCACGGGGAATTATAAAAATTTACATTTCTGAACAAAGTATGTGTTCTTCACTATAATTTCATGCTGATGTTAACAGACATAAAATTGATACAGATAAGAAAAATAATTTTCTACTTGGTTAGATTACCATTGGTAATGACACAAATTATTGTTTAATTTTGTTGGAATGATTGTTGTTGTTGTTTTATTTGTTGGTGACACTTTTTGCTTCTGTTCTTCAAAAAATACAGAGAGAATTTTAAAAAAATTGTTTTTGAAACTTTGTAAATACTTTTGATACTGTTTTGTTTGCTTAACTTATAAAACTCTAGTTGGGTAGTTTTCTTGTTTTGATATTTTTGATAGTTGATCTTATGTCTGTGCTGTTTTAGTCCTGCTTACAATTGTAGGAAGGTGTTAACTAACACTGCAGTTAAATTTAAATAAAACAAAGAACGTGCTTCACGAGAGAGTTTAGACATGATAATACAAAGGTATCATTCTGAAAAATTAGGAAAAAATATATTCATATTAACTTCCTATCAGAGTAAGCTACCTACTTGGATCAAAACTAAAACTCAACCTAATAATGGGTATATATAATCAGGTATGCTCTTCTACTTTTAAATATTATAAAGTTGAGTACCGTCACTGTTAATAACATTTGTGGCCGTAAACCCAATAATATCTCGGTAGATTCATAAAGCTTGGGGGATTTAGGTGAATCCATATACTAAGCCAGCAATGCAAGACAATATGTAATAGATATATAATAAAAAAATACAACATATATTAAACATCAGAACAGAACCAAGTTCCTATTTCTAGAACAAGACTATTTAAGAAGCCCAGCATACACCAGGCATATTAACAAAGCTTTGTTTCAGAAACCTTATTTTGGCAACAAAATTAACCAATGTACGTTAAATTTTCTCATGTCTGCCGATCGGTAACAGGTTATACTAAGTTTTAAGCACTGCTCAGAAATGGATCATGTTTTTTCAGGAATTTGTTACCTCCAACCAATCAAAGAAGGATAGCAGATTGTGTGATAAAAATATTCTCCTTGTTAAAACACGCTGCCACAAGTAGTAAGCAATTTTTTGGAAACTGTTTATGAAACATTTCTTGTGTATGACTTATCTTCCATAAAGCAGATTCTGGGTGAATTGAAAAACAAATATTTCATTGATGAACAGAAACTATTATTCCCTGTATTCAAAGCAAATGTGATAAACAGGGGTGTTTTATTATAAAGATTTTTCAAATAAGTGACCAACTATAACTGACCTTTGCTTGCAGGTGTGATCCTTAATGAAGGTATAAGGATATTAAATGGTAAAGAAATAACCTTTTTTTTTCATCTGAAGCTCTTTAAAGGTCATTTATTTGCAAAATATTGCGATATTACTTGATTTTTTTAAACATTTTCATGTTCTAAGATGTATTTATATGTGAATAAAAAAATTTTTTTTTTTACTTTCAGCAGTGCTAAAAGCTTATGAAAAATTCTATGCAAAGCCAGTGTTTCAAGTGCTTTTTCGTTTTCCCATTTGTTTGTTTGTCTGTTTTTGTGGCTTCATCAAATTTGTTAAACTATAAAACCTCTATACATATATATATATTGGCCCGGCATGGCCAGGTGGTTAGGGCGTTCGACTCGCAATCTGCGGGTCGTGGGTTCGATTCCCCGTCACACCAAACATGCTCGCCCTTTCAGCCGTGGGGGCGTTATAATGTGACGGTCAATCCCACTATTCGTTGGTAAAAGAGTA